CAAAAAATAAAACCGACCCCGCAATATCAACATACAATTTTAAATAATCTGGCTGAAGATTTAAATCATGAGGTCAAAAAGTTTGTTGGAAATAAAATGTTTTAAGTAGTTCAAGAGAAAAAAGTTAAAAATATATTTTGAAACTCGCGTGATGTAACACTGAATAATAAATTATACACTTGTATTGTATATAGTAAATATAAATATATTAAAAATGAAGTCAGGACAACAGAATAATTGGACAAATGGAAAATAAAAATTTTCTACAATAACTAGTACCAACATCTTTCTTCAGACATTGTTTTCCATGGGGAACCAATTCAAGATCAACACTGTACTTTGTAATTTAATGTCAATCAAACTATTTCATAACCTGCCCAATGTATTTGGTATAGAGAGGTATTTAAATTCTCATTCCAGTAATTAAATAAGTTTTTACAATCAAGAATGTTTAATAGACAGAATATTTTTGAAGTAAAAATTTATACTTCTCTATACTTTATAATAATTATAAAACGGAACCCCGTACATGGTCTAAAGAATCAAAATTAATGTTTTAATAGTTGCATATAATTATAGTGTTGTTATCTAATATCTGTTTTTAGCTTTTAGTTTGTTGCTGGTTATTTGGTGGTTTTGAATGAATGTAGAGAAAAAGGTGTAAATATGGGCACCCTCTTTTGTTTTTTGGATAAAGTTACTTCATTAACAACTATAACAAGTTTCCTAAATGCGAGAAGGCAAAACAATGATTAATATCAATTATTTCATTTCAAAAAATGTCAATGTCGGGGGTCAAAAACTATCGGAAAAGAAGCCTTAGTCACCGGATCACGTGTTGTGTCGGATGTATTAGCAGGCCAGGACTTGAAAACATCGGCCAAAAATAGAACAAAAGAATCGGGCAAAATATTGGCCAATAAAGCAATTGGAAAAATTCAGTCAATGATCAATGATGAGTGGTGGATATAAAAGAAAGCGCAAGACAAAGAAAAAAATCATTCCATCAAAGAAACAGAAAGCGAGAGGACGTGATATTTTTGACTCCTAATCATGACATTTCTTTTGAAGGGTTCTCCAGAATGTGTCAAATCTGAACTGGAATTGTTTCATATGCCTGGCACACAAACCGTCATTCAAAGTGGGCAGTGGGTAGAGTTCCATCCATTATCTAATGTATTTGATGGCGGACCCGTAGAATTTCATATATCAGGCTCCGGCGAGGAATTTATTGATTTAAGTCAGACTCAGCTTCACGTGCAGGCAAAAATTTTAAAAAATGATAATACTAATTTAACGAAAGATGACGATATCGGACCCGTTAATCTATTTTTACATTCTCTGTTTTCTCAAGTGGATGTATCATTAAACGACCGCATCATTTCAAATTCGAGCAACACCTACCCTTATAGATCCTACATAGAAACACTTTTAAACCATGGCTATGACAGTAAAACCTCCCAACTCACAGCAGAACTTTATTATAAGGATTCCAATGATGGACTGAAAAAAAGATCAGATTTTTTTAAGTTAAGTTCTAGTGTGGACATGATTGGTTGTATACACAGCAATTTGTTCCACCAAAACAGATTATTATTGAACATGGTAGATATAAAAATAAAGTTGATTCGTAGTAAACCTGAATTTTGTTTGAAATCTGGCTGTAAAGTTACACTAGATAGAATTTCACTTTTAATAAGAAAAGTGCGTGTAAGTCCTGGAGTAATTTTAGGACACGCAAAAGTTTTAGAAAAAGATACTGCAAAATATCCTATCGATCGAGTTCTGTGTGAAGCGTATTCCATTCCTAAAGGTAACATGTCATTTGTGCAAGACAATGTATTTGTGGGGCAGATTCCTAAACGACTCATCATAGGATGTGTGGAAAACGATGCATTTCATGGAACATTTGAGAAAAATCCTTTTGATTTTAAACATTTAAATTTTATCGCAGGGTCAACCAGTCCCTCATAATCCACTGGAGCTGAATTTTTCACAAAAACAATATATCAGAGCTTATCAAAATTTATTTATGAGCACTGAACATATGAGAAGCGACAGGGGGCAACTTTATTTCTAGAGAAGAATTTTGTGATGGGTATACTCTCTATGCGTTTGACTTATCCCCTGACTTATGTCATTTTAATGTAATAAAACATAGTAATTTAAGAGTTGAAATGAAATTTGAGAGACCGTTAGAGAAAACAGTGTGTGTCATTGTGTTTGCCGAATTTGAAAACGTCATAGAAATCGAGAGACATCCTATACGATTTTGGAAATGAATAATACGCAATGGACGGAAGAAAGATTTATGAAATTTTATCGAAAGACCCTACAACAGCATCTAAGTTTAGAGGTGTTTACTCACGAGACACAATACCCACTTTGCAAGAAAATGAAGCTATCATCGTAAATACAGATTAATCAACTCGACCAGGATCTCATTGGTTAGCTCTATACATGACTGAACAAAAAAAACTGGAATTCTTTGATTCCTATGGACATGATATTTATAAATTATTTAACATTTCTAATGTATGTTGGAATTCTGTAACTTTTCAATCACTCACTTCAAATGTATGTGGAGCCTATTGTGTATTTTTCATTTGCAAACGCTGTCAGAAACATTCTATGGTTTCCATTCTAAGAATGCTAAATGTTAATAAAAAAAAATGATTTTAGAGTGTATCAATTTGTGAAAAAGAAATTTGGTGTACGCTTTGCTTACAAACAATAAAAAAAATATTTTTTTAAAAAGAAAAATTTTGTTTGTGTTTTTATCTATTTACCTTTTTTTATTATATTTATTTTCAATAAATATTCTAGTTTATTAATTCACTCTATTCACTATGGAGTTTCCTAAACTTAGACATTCGTTCACGTGCATTTTGGCTGGTCCAACGGGCTGTGGTAAAAGTCAGCTCTGCAAAAAAATAATCGAGTCTAAAATTATTGAACCGTTTCCAAAATCAGTGATTTGGTGTTATGGAGCGTATCAATCCATGTTTGAAACAATCCCGAATGTGACATTTCATGAGGGCGTTCCTTCAGATTTAAATAATATTTCAAATGCATTAATTATTCTCGATGATCTCATGTCTGAATTAGGAAGTAATTCCAAATTAACGCATTTATTTACTAAACATAGCCATCACCGTAACGTCTCAGTAATTTTTATAGTTCAAAATATTTTTCATAAAGGTAAAGAAATGAGAGAAATATCTTTGAATTCTCACTACCTTATTCTCTTCAAAAACCCTCGAGATCAGAGTCAAATCACCCATTTAGGTCGACAGCTTTATCCAACAAAAGTTAAATTTTTCCAAGAAATGTGTCGTGACGCGACTTCAAAACCTTTTGGCTACCTGTTAGTCGATTTGAAACCCAATACGGAAGATAACTAGCGCCTGCGCACTGGTATATTACCAAATGATAAAATGATCGTGTACCAGCCGAGATAGTCATTTGTCCATTAACATTAGCGAAGATGAGTAGTGTCTGTGTCTTAGATTTCGAAGGATATTTATTCAATGAAAATAGGTTTATTATTAAAGAACTAGCAATATTTAATATAAGTAACAACTATTTGAAAAATTGGACATTTAAGCCACCATTTAGTTTCGTAAAGCTAAAGAAGCATGAGAAAAAACAATATTTTTGGATTAAAAATAATACGCATGGATACAATTGGAATTTTGGTGGAATGCCTTATATTACATTATACTTCATTTTGGAAGAAATATTTCAGAATTATGAAAAGATTTATGTAAAAGGAGTGGAGAAGACAAAATTTATTCAAACTTTCACAAACCGCCCATGTGTTAACCTAGAAAGCATAGAATGCCCGAAAATCAATGATTTGGTAAAATCGCATGTTAACTGTAATTTTAAACACTTCAGCAGAAATCACTGTGCCTCCATCAAAGCTGAAACATTTGGTCATTTTCTAAAGTATAAAATAATCCCAAACAGGAATAAATCAATCAATTGTTATTAGAATGTCGAACAGTAGGCACTGTTGTCTAGAGGTCTTACAAGCTGTTGCTAAACTGAAATCCAAGCGGAAATTTTTAAAACACTGTCCAGCTAAATCTATTAAACGCATTTGTGAATGCGTCCTTAATTTGTTAAAAGGTAACATTCCTCTCAATAAAAAACAAAAAAGCAAGCTCTCACCATTAAAAAGAAGTTTAAGAAAACTTTCTGATAAAAAAGTACCTTTGTTCCGTAAGAGGGAAATTCTTGTTCAACGTGGTGACAGATTTTTAGGATTCCTGATACCAGCGGCAATTACAGCTCTAACATCTTTAATTAATGGAACACGCTAAAAAAATTATTCTTGTTCCCGAAAATAGAATACAAGCTAATACTGTAGAATATCTATCTGAATTGGATAAGCAAATGCATGATATCATTAAAAATCAAAATATTCCAGAAAATGATAAAAGCAGTGCTATATTTGCAAATTCTTCAAAAATACGTCAGGTGTCCTACTTTTTTGGAAAATAAAAGCAAATCGAATCAACCAGTGGATGATATCTCAGCCGAAGTGGAAGAAAAGCCTAACGAAATTAAAAGAAGAAAATGATATGGAAAACATCAATTTAGTAGAAACGCAACTAATGAATGTTGTACCCAAAAGTCAAAAGGAACGAGCTGAAAAGTTTTTTCATTTATTGCAATCTAACAAAGAACTGTTTTCTTGGACTGATAAAGGAGAAATTTTGTATAAACAGAAACTCCTTCCTGGAACGAATATCACTCATTTGATAAATAATGTACTGAGAAATGAGAAGAAACAACCAAAAGGCCAAAAAGTATTTTTTGAAGCTTTGAAAGAAATGAAAATACCAGAAGAATATGTAATTAATAAAAAAGTGTTTACTGACTCACCTCCTGTAACGAGTACACCAGTCCTGTTTGCTAGAAAAAAACGTTGGCTGAAATACTAAGTAACAGTATATTTTGTAACATGGTATTTTTTGTAAATAAAAATAAAATAAAATTCTCTCTCTTTATTTCAATGTAAACAAAAATCAATACATACAAGTTTTCTTTTTTTAAAAAATACTATACCTGAAAATGTCTCCTTTTCTGTGCACATGTGTATCAGCCAATGTTTGCGTAATATTTGTTGGCCCTTTTTTTTAAAATGTGTATGTGTGCTTGCTTCCTTCTTCTTCTATCTTCAATACCCATATGGTAGAGTAGAATAGTCTGGTTTTAAAACTCTCTTATTATATACCATCCTGTATTCTTTTGTCTCTTCCTTATTTAAAACTCTCCTCTTCTTAGCGTCTCGAATTATCTTTGATGGGTCATGGATACAAATGGCGGTACGATCATCCAGGTTGGACACCAAACTGTGAATAGAGTCAAAATTTAATGATAAACTGTTCTTAAAATTTAAACAGAAACCCCGGACCTTGCAGACACTTTTTCCACTGTCAGTCACATAAGCGTAATTTTTCGGGCCACCTAAAAAATAAAATAAATAAATAAGAAAATACAGATTTTTTTTTTATCTTTTAATATCACATTGAGGAACAAATTAAAAAAGACAAGGAATTAATCCAAGATGCGTTTTTTTTTTTTCATACCTGAAACAAATTTAACAATAGTTTCTCCTCCGAGTTCATCAGTAAATTCCCCAAGAAAATTTCCTAATGGTGGGTCGTTAAGGCCATTTGATGCATAGATAATCGAATCGGTATCAAAGTATAGGACCTGCTCCCCAAGTTTATCAAGTTCATCATATAGCTTCAGTCTTGCATGGCAAGTTGTGAAAGCAGCTATGAAAATATTGGTGCTAGCATCATCGTCGATGAATTCTGTCTTTCGCTTCCACTGCATGGCACAGATCGTCTCAGTGGGGAAAAACAAGTCTTGTATCTATAAGGGAAAAGAAAAAAAAATGTTATTAATAAAATGAAATCGCGAAAATTTAATATAGATTGTACATACACTGTATCACTAAATATTTCTTAATTGAACAATAATTACTTCTTTAGTGTTGCCAGAAAAGAATTTGTTAAATTCTTCCAAAGAGCCGACAAAATTCAGCATCATCTTGATGAGGCTCATCCCCCATCTGCCCCAAAAGCTATTTAGTGCAAGCTTTGCCACTGCTCTCTGACCTAGATTGAAAGCGATCTTGTCTTTCCGGAGCAGTATCCCCTCCTTCCTGAAATAAGACTGAATATACTCGTCTTTATCTTCCTCCGTTTCACACCCTGACGGCCATCCGCTTGCTTCCTGCTTTAGCTGCAGGAATAAATCAATGTAGGATTTAAATAAATCAGACAACGATTTCTCAAAATGATACACTTCATACACCTGAAATGATAAAAAAAAAATTAATCATCTTAATCAGGAAATGCATAAATAAAAATATATTTTCATATTTGATAAGTAATGCCAACCTTAAGGATCTGGTAGCCTTTTTGTATAGCTTTCTTCACCTCTTCAGTCACCCACGAACCAACGAAAGCTCTTTCATCATCATTATGGTGACAGGGTGTTTGCTGACTCATGTCACCACATGTTCTACACAGTGGGAATAGTAGCTTTCCATTGCTTCTACAGGGTAATACTAGATGATATAACCTTCTGAGTGGCAAAACTTTGCACTTCACAAATCCAAAATAGTTTGTAATATTGTCGAAGTTTTCGGTAATGATAGTAGGGTGTCCAATCGGGTATCTGTAAAAAATAATCACTTTTTTTCAAAAAAATAAAGAACGAAACTCACATTTTTTAAGCCTTAAATAGAGTTAATGAAAATTGAACGTACCGACAGTATTTATTGCACCACGGGTACAGGTTGGTAAAATCTATGTACTTAGCTACGCCCTCATAAATTAATTTCACCGCATTTGTGCGGCTCCCGAAGAATGCATCCCTTGGGTTCAAACGATTCACAACTTCGTGAGTCGATAAAAACAAGTTGACCTCACTGGCCTCCTTCTTCATCAGTGCGAAGTCGTGCTCCCATATCTCTATCAAGTTGAATCCTCTCCTCTTGATTCTTTCAGAGATTTCAGTTGTTTTCACCCTCAATCTCTCCATGGTCTCTCCAGATACAGGATTGACTACATCTCGATCGTAGCATTTTACGCAGCCGTGAAAGAAGCATCCCTGTTTTCAAATGATAAAAATAATATACATGAGTATCCATTTTCGTATTAAAAAAACATTTCGTATGTGTATGAAATAGATTCATTTATAAAAACTTACGTGAAACTGATAAACTGTGTTAGTTTCAGCACAAAATCCATCAACCTTCATTCCTTCGATGGAAACCTCTCCACGACCATTTAATGCATGCTGGATGTTGATACCTTCAGAAAAAGAAACAAAATCTAACCACCGAATGCAGTCAAGGCTGTAATTACCGTTTGCGTATCCATGTACTGGTACTTTGGCAATCGTGTTAGGCATAATATGGTTGCTTCTATAGCAGGCCATGCACGACGCTGCGATAGTCACATAGCTGAAATATAAAAAAAAGGAATAAACAGTCAAAAAAAAGTATATATATATATATATATATATATATATAAATTACCTATAAAAAACACCATTTAACTAATACCATTNGATAAAGATAAATTTTTACATCCCGCGTACTTCCTCTGTAAGAAACCTAAAATAAAAATAATGTGATTAAGATGTGTATGTTAAAAAGAATATCAGTAAAAGAACATTACCTATACTGCAAATATAAAGAAAAATAAAATAATAGAATAAATTAGTGGAAAAAAAATTTGAACCATTACAAAAATTACAGGAATTATAAATTAGATACATACCGACAATATTTTTCCATTTCCTTTTTGAAGTCAAACACATCATCTTTGTAATCTTCATACCACATCACAAACTTCTGGCGTGATTCTGTTGACATGGTATCAGGACTGTAAAAGGACATATCAGGCATGGGAGCAATATAATTTTGGTTAGCAGGGACGTTAAAAAAATGAGGGAAAAAACCTTTCGTCAATTCAGCAATACCAAAAGTTTTTGGCAGTTTAGACAAGGCCATCGGTAAAAAACAGAACGAATCTATAAACCGAATACTGACGGCTGTCACTAGTATTTGAAGGATTTTAGATCCCTGGGGAATTACTTTGGGCTGATAGCCCCGTTCTAACAACCACCTCAAAACAAATTGACCATCAAAGCCCTTCATATTATGAGCGTTTAATGTGTAATCCTTATGCTTAGGGTCTAAAACATAACAGCAGAATTCCGATAACGTGTCTTGTCCACGGAAAACACGCTCAGTACCATCAGCGTACTGAATAATGGCGAAATTTACAAAATGTTCTCGAGTCTCTTGAGTGGTCTCAAAATCGTAGAACATCAGCTTGTCTGAATGCTTCTTTGCTTCCAATTTACCCAAGAAACACAGATGACCTGGCGGAAAATATTTCTTGCAATTTTTGCACCTAATTTCGCCACATTTATGAAGATCTTGTAGGCACTTCTTGCGTTCAATCACCTTCGAACATTTTCTACACTGATATATCTAGATGAAAAAAATAAAAAAAAGCAACATATCATTTCTGATGAGTCTAACAAATATATAAAATGAAGACAGTGTTAAATATAAAATATATAAAACGTACATACCAAGGCACATATCCCCCTTTCTATATGTGTGCTGTAGCACGCAGATGAGCTACACAGCCTATCGCATGCAGTGCATCTTACTGCATCGGACTCCTTAGTGCAATTACTACGCCTGCACACATGACACAAAAACTCGCATCTATGAAGGGCCAGACTTTGATAGGGTTTCAAACACGAATCGCAAAAATAATCAGATCCAAAGAATCCCCTTGGAGACTTAATCAGATCGAAATGCGAGTTGTGTAGATAAAGATAAATTTTTACATCCCGCGTACTTCCTCTGTAAGAAACCTAAAATAAAAATAATGTGATTAAGATGTGTATGTTAACACTCCGTCGGGCGCGTCTCGAAACTTACGGCATCGGGCGCGATGTATCTGTCAGATACATCTCTGTTTTGTGTGTTTTCTATTAATATGTATTACTTTAAATCTCCTATTTTTACTCTTTTTAGATCCAAGCTTTTACACCCGGACCTTTTATTAGTTTTTTAAGTATATTTTTAATTTTTATATATTTTTAATTTTTATATATTTTTAATTTTCATATATTTTTAATTTTTATATATTTTTTAATAATTTCAATAATAATTTTTATTTATTAATCACAAACGCTATTACAAAAGTTAAATGCTGTAAAATATTTAATTAAACATGTTAAACTGTGGAAAAAGTATAAAAAGGACAGTTATGCACAAATAATACATAATATAAAAGTGACAAATCAATTATTATAATTGAATCCGATTCTAAATTTAAGTCAAATTTTTTCTTCCGATCTGTTTTGCCCATTTAAGTATTATTGTCCTTTCCTACATAAAAATAATCATTATTAACATCATCATCGAGTTCTGAGTCATTATAAACACTTTTACTGCCATGACAATCAACTTCACGTGTTTCTAAAATATCTTCTTCGTCAGCATCACTTTCATCAAATTCTTCAGCATTTAATTCCTCATTTCCATCACTAAATAGAATACTATGAACTAGCTCTAGGTCTTTCTGATTTTTCAAATCTAAAAAGNAATGAAGAAAATTTGTATTATACATTTACCTCATTTTAAAACCGTTTGTTTGGCGCAGCATGTCCTTCCTTGGACTTTGTGCCATTAAACCCTACATTCAATCAATTAACCACAACATCCTTTAATAGAGCACCCCTGGCGTATGCAGGCAGTCTGTCTGTGTCGATGAGGGCAGTGTAATTAGTCTCCACCGGTCCGTCTGCTGTTCTCAACCAGTACAATGGCATTCTTGAGCTACAATAAAAATAACAAAGATTCTTAAATGATTAGAATACATACTTAAATCATTAGAAAAAATCACATCAGGAGCCTCACCGTTTACTTGAAGTGGCGTCCAGAAACTAGAAGATGGTCCTTCCTGAGGATCATCAACCCCAGCTCCAGTTTGATAGAAACTAATTGTATTCTCCATAAATGTCTGTGACGTTTCACTTAAATTAAGTGGGTACTGAGTAAATATGCTAGGTGTATCCTAGAACAAAAAATCATAATAAGTATAATGGTATAAATTATATTCAACCACTTTTAAAAAAAAGATCTTCAGATAGGATCCTAAACTCATTGATCATTACCTGTAATTCATCCATAAAACTATAAGCCGATGGCGATAGGGGATTTTCCAAAAACGTCTGCGATGTCTCACTCATCACCTAAAGATTATTAATAACATTATTTAAGTTTTTCCCCCTCTTCCCATAGATAATAGCCAATAAAAAAAATAAAAAAAGAAAATGGATAAAAAATCACTACCACATCATCTATCGGAATATCATTGAAAATCTCAGACGTTTCACTATCATCCTAAAGACAAAAAAAGAAAAAAACATAAATTAATAAGTATACTTTAAGAAAAATGTTTTCCTTTTACGAACAGAGTAAAAAAAAAATCAATCAGATTATTTGTATATATGTTACGACAACACAGGTTAATTATTAAAGAACTTGGAAAATAATTTTATTTAAAAAATAGATGCATAAAAAAAAAAAAACTTAACTTAAATCATTATAGGTAAAAATAAAAAAAAAGAAGAAGCAAACAGATAAAATGATAATGTTAAAATGATACGTATATCATTATAATAAAACATACTTTTAAGAAAAATATTAATAATATTTAATAAGCTATATAAATTGAACTTAATGTAGTAAATTACAAAAACACTGTAATAGAAATAAAAACATTCGACTAAATTAAACACGTGGTAAAACAAATCTTAATTGATTGTCTTAAATCTCACTTTAAAATAAAATAACACCTGGTAAGAAAAAAAATTCATCAACTAGTAAGCTTTAATTAAATTCAACCTCGTGCAAGCATACATCTATATAAATCTAAATCATACATTATAATTTATTTAAATAAAAAGCAACACGCGGTAAAAAAAAAAAAAAAAATCATATTGATCAATAATATTAACACGAGCAAACATACATCTATATAAAATTAATATATTATAATTTACTTAAATAAAAGCACCAGGTGGTAAAAAAAAAAATCGTACTGCTTATTAAGCTTTTCAATTTAACTATCACGTGCAAACATATAACTATGTAAAAATTAATCCGAAAATATGTAATTTACATATCAATAAAATACAGACACGTGGGGGAAATAAAACAACATTAAATTACTAATAAGTTTAAATTAAAGTAACCACGTGCAAAACAGACATCTATGTAAAAACTAAATCAAGTAATAAAATAAATCAAGTATAATTAACATTAATAAACGCAACACGTGGAAAATAAAACATACTGATTAGTAAGTTTTCAATTTAAATTACCACGTGCAAGCATACAACTATATAAAATTAATATAATAATAATAATTATCATTAATAAATTTAACACGTGGTGAAAATAACATTAAATTGCTAATAAGTTTAAATTAAAGTAACCACGTTCAAAACAGACATCTATGTAAAACTAAATCAAGTAATATAATTAACAATAATAAATATAACACGTGGTAAAAATAACATTAAATTGCTAATAAGTTTTTAAATTAAAGTAACCACGTGCAAAACAGACATCTCTGTAAAACTAAATCAAGTATAATTAACATTAATAAACGCAACACGTGGTTGGTGAAAAAATATTAATTACGAATCAATGTATAAATAAAATAATGCAATAAAATATTAGATTACTTACTTCGCTAATTCGACGCTTGTTAGATGACATATCTATGGACTAATACGAAATAAAATCGCAAGCAAAAATAATTAAACTAGAAAATACAACAAAAAAATATATATATATTATAGATGCAATGAAAAATCTAGATGTAACGGACACTGCGAAAATGATATGAAGACTTGAATTACTCGCTACAACAATCTCAAACTGACCACTGGAGGAATGATTTATACAACAGGTTTCAAACCCCCCGCTTATATTTCTATCGATACAGTTAACCCCCCCTTGTGTGTTGCTTATAGCTCGCAGCGAATCATTCAATCACCATGTTGCCATCACAGAAAAGAAATACTCCAAAAACCGAAACTGATTCCCTTTCTGCTAAAATAAAGAAATAAGCAGTTGATGACCGATATTTTCTTTTTTAAACCCCTCTACTATAAAACATATATTCCATCCATCTCCTGTTGCCACCCCGGAAAAGAAATAATATACTCGAATACCGAAACTGATTCCTTTTCTGCTAAAAAAAAGAAATAAGCAGTTGATGACGCTCACTTTCTTTTTTTAAACCCCTCTACTATAACACGTTTATTTCACGACCCCCCACTGGGATGATTGACAGGTGCCACGCCCCCTCCATTGTATTCAGCCTGTACTCCCTGTACCTGTACTAGCCTGTACCCCCAGATGTCCAGAAAAAATGGGGTGTAAATATGGGCCCTCTTCAAAAAAGTCACCAAAAATAGTTTAA